GCGGCGGCACGGGCGAGGGCTTCAGGTGCGGGAGGGGCAGCCCGCCGCGGGGCGTTTTAGCGGGCAGGGCCCGCCACTGGTCAGCCGAGTATTGCTGGCGCATGCATCGACTGCACACCGCTCGCTGGTGCCCGGGCCCCGCCGCGCACAGAACTTGTTCGGTGCGCCCCAAGCAAGCCCACGCCTCCGCCCCTGCGCCCACCCTAGGCTGCTGTTTGACGCGCGCGGCGAGCGCGACCTGCGGCCGCCCTGCGACGTGCGAGGCGGCGCCTCATCGCTCGTAGTCCTCGAGCTCTTGAACCCCGACGAGCCCCCGCCGGCCGAGCTCCGCCGCGCCGAGCGCGCGGCGATCGCGGCGGCGCGCCGAGCGCGCGGCGCGGCCAACGCGGCGGCGCTGCGGGCGCTGCTCGAGCGCCGCGGGGCACCGCACCTGGCGCCGTATGTCATCCTGGGCGACGCGTACTTGAACATGTTTGGGGCGGAGGAAATGGCGCAGCGCGTGCAGAGCGTGGAGGAGCAGCTGCCTGCTCTGCAGCTGCTGCACTCGCAGCTAATCGTGAACGAGCAGCCGGGGGCCAGGGCTGCCGCGGCAGGCGGCGACGCAGCGCTCGAGGCGGGTGAAGGGGGCCTTGATGTGGGGGGCGGCTTGGCAGAGGGTGTGCAGCAGCTGCAGCTGCTGCAACAGCAGCAGGAGCAACAGCAACAGCAACAGCAGCAGCAGGAGCAACAGCAGCAGGAGCAGCAGCAAGAGCTGCTAGCTTTGTTGGTGGACCATCACGTGGGCCTTCAGCAGCAGTTGGAGCAAACAGATGAGCGTGCGGAGCAGGTGCGCCTGGTGGCAACACTGATCCAGCAGCTGTCGCTGGCTTTGCAACTGTCAGAAGCGCAGCGGCAGCAGGAGCAGGCACAGATGCAGTTGGATGAGGAAGCGGCGGCGGCGGCGGCGGCGGCGGCAGACGCGGAGCGAGCGGCCGCAGCCGCAGGGGCGCACGCTGCGGAAGCCGCCGCGATTGGAGCCGGGCTCGCCGCGCCCGGCGGCGACGCGCCGGGCCCGACGGGCGCGCCGCACGTGCCGCAGCCGCTGCTGCTGCGCCGCGCGTACGCGCGGCCCGCCGCCGCGTTCCGCACCGACCGATTTGAGCCGACGGCCGGCGGCGACGGCCGGCCGCCCGGGCGCTTCGCGGGTGCTCTTGTCTGGGGCCCGGACAAGGCGAAGCGAATCACAGACCTTTTAGAGGGCCGCGGCAGCTGCTGCGAGGCGGGCGGCGCGGCGGCGGGCGGCCCAGGCGAGGCGTGCGGCGGCTGCGGCGCGGCGGCGCCGCCGCCGCGGCGCCGCGTGCTGATGTTCTGTTATGTGAACCGGCTCGAGCAGATTGGGGTGACGCCTGGGGCTGAGGAGTGGGTGGATTACACACTGGTGCCTCTGCTGGAGGTTGCGCCTGGGCAGAGTGTGCGGGACGCGTGGATGGGGTCGCTGCGGTGCGGAGGGTATGACGTTCTGGGGTCCGCCGAGGCCGCCCTTGCGGCCGAGGGCCCGGAGGCGCGACGGGCGCGGTGGGCGGGCGCCGTGCCGCGGGCGCTGTTTGAGCGCGGGTGGTATGTGTAGCCCCCGTTTGCGCGTGTGCGGATTGGCATCGGTGGGTGAAGAGGCGGGCCTGTTGTAATGGGATTTCTGCTCGGAGCGGATGGCCGCGCGGACTTGCGCCATGCGCGCTGCCAGGTGGGCAAGCAAGTCGCCTTCACCACAGGGTGCGGCAGGGCGCGAACATGCAGCAGTGCGTCGCAGCCAGTGTTCAATTGGTTGTCTAGTGTAATCACCACGGCTTGCACTGTCATCTAGCCGAGATTTGCTGCGCGCTCGATCGAGAAGCGCTGAAAGAGTCTGGATCATATCAGCGACACGACCTCCGCTTTGGACCCACAGTATAGCAGAGGTTAAATGCAGCTGTATACAAGGATTAATGGGGCCCTGGCCCGCGGGAGGCGGGCTGTGGCTGTAAGCCATCAGCAGCGCTACTCAAGGGTCATCCCAGCGGCCCTGAACATGCCCGGGATACCGACAAAAGTTGATATAGGTTCGGTAGTTGGCATCGATTCGGCGCCCGAGGTCGACACTGATAACTTGCGCTCCGTTCGGGTGCGCCCGCGCTGGGCTGCTGGGCTGTGCTGTGCGTGGGGGCGCGTGGTGGCTGCCTTAGGGGAGTGGCACCACACCACGCGAACGCGGCACGCCCGCAGCCGCCATCCCAGTGCAGACGCCATACCTGAGAGTCGCAGCAATTAGCTAGTTGGACGCCCGCCTGCGCCGCAGCTGCTGCGTTCTGCATGCCGGCCAGACCACCGCAATCCGTTCCGACCACACGGCCCCAGCCGTCAGAGGCCCCGACCACCCCTTTACTAACACCCACGCCCCACGCGCACGCTTCCTATGTGCAGGCCGTCAGCTACGTCAGCCGCCGCCGCCTGGATGACGCCGATTTTGACCCAGACGCGGTGGACGAGGAGGGGCTGCCGCTGGTGTACAATGAGCAGCGCATCGCAGCGTTCTGGAGCGGGCGCCCCGGGGAACTGGCGGGAAGGTGCGCGGGCTGCTCGGGACCCCACCGCCGGCACGGGGCGGGGCGACGATTTGGGCAAAGCTCGGCGGCGGCTCTCGTGAGCCCAGCGCGGACCGCACGCGGCTGCTTGCGCTGCGGTGGGCGCCCCCCCCTGCGAGAACACCCCTCGTACCTTCGGCCGGTGCGGCCTGGGCGGCGGCGGATCGCACAAGCCCCTCGCATCTCCAACCCTACACCACCCCTCCACCCCTGCTCACCAATGACCCCTCCACCCCTGCCCCCGAC